AAACAACGTATATAAAATACTATATTAATAGATTAAAAACCAAATAATCCTCTCATAGAGAAAAAAAGCAACTGACAAAAACCTAACACGTATAATAAAAATGCTTCAATAAACTAGAAACAGAAGAGAATTTCTTCAACTGATAAATGACATACATGAAAAGCCCAAAGCTAGCATCCTACTCAAAAATGAAAGATAGGGAACCAGCAGTTAGTGTAATGGCTATGTCGCTAGACTCCCACGTAGTCGACCGCGGTTCGTGTCCCGGACCCGGTGCCTTAAAAAACTCACGCCGGGCGCGTGTGCGTGCGTGCCCAAGATCCCGAGAGAAGAATGGAGGAGAAGGGATTGCGGCGTGACCATCCCCCCTGGGGGATGATTTCTCGCGGCCCTACAAGAAAAAATCCCCCAAAAAAAAAAAAAAAAAAAGAAAGATAATGCTTTCCCCCTAAAAGAGGAACAAGAACAAGGATGTCTGCTTTTACCTGCTGTAGTCAACGTCACATTAGAGATTCTAGCCAGAGACGTGGCAAGAAAAAGAAAGAAACAACATCCATGGCATTACGTACTGAAGAGTCAATATAACAGAAAATATAACAATTACATACATGTGCACCAAACAACAAAGTCCCAAACACTGTCAAGAAACCATTTACAGAACTGAAGAAACAGATACTCCTATAATAATAACTAGAGATTTTTGATATATACTTTGCAATAATGAGAATACTAAGAAAATCAGTAAAGAAGTGGAGGACTTTAACAACATAAACCAAATGAACCTAACCAACTCATATGGAACACTCTATCCTAAAACAGCAGAACATACTTCCTTTCTAATTGCACATGGGACATTCTCCAGGACAGACCACATGTTAGACCACAAAACAATCTCAACAGATTGAAAAAGACTGAGATCACATGAAGTATCTTCTCTGACCACAATAGAATGAAACTTAGAAATCAGTAAGAGAAGAAAACCCAGAAAATTCACAAATGTGTGGAAAATAACTCATTCTTGATAACCAATGGATCAAAGAGGAAAATTAAAAATAAATAACAGATACATAAAAATGAATAAAAGCAAAAATACAACAACAAAAACATATAGGATGTAGCAAAGGCAATGAGCAGAAAATTTATAGTTGTAAATGTCTACAGTGAAAAATGATCTCAGATCAATATCCTAACTTTACAACTCAATGACTAGAAAAAGAGGAAACTACATCCAAAGCTAACAAAACACAATGGTAAGTATTTAAGCAGAAATTAATAAAATAGACAAAAAAGTAGGAAAATCATCGACATAACTTAATTTTTTTAAAGATCAGTAAAACTGACAAACCTTTAGCTAGACTGACAGAGAAGAAAAAAAAATAACTAAAATCAGAAATGAAAAGGGAGACATTACAACTCACCATACAGAATAAAAAGGACTATAATAGCATACTACAGACAATGGTATGCTAACAACTAAATAATCAAAATGAAATGGACAAATTCTTAGAAATACACAAATTACTAAATTGATTCAAGATGAAATAGTAAATCTCAACAAGTCTATATAACTAATAAAAAGACTAACTCAGTAATCAAAAACCTCCCAAAAAAGATCTAGGACAAGATAATGTCAATGGTAAATGATACCAAAAATCTAAAGAAAAAATTAACAATACTTCTAAAACTAATACAAAAAAGGGAAAAGAAAACTCATTCTATGAAGCCAGCGTTTATGCTGATACAAAAGTCAGAGAAAGACATTATCAAGAGAAGAAAATTATAAACCAATATTCTTTTAAAATATACACACAAAAATAAAAAAAAAATACTAGAAAAGCAAATCTAATAGTATATTAAAATTGTATACCATGACCTGACCAAGGGTATTTATTCCAGGGACACAAGGGTAGTTGAACATAGAAAAATTAATTTAATAAACTACACTAATAAAATGAAGGAAAAAATCCACACGATTATCTCAGTTGTTACAGAAAAGACACTTGACCAATCTGATTCTATTTCATGATAAAAATGAAAAGTTCTGGAAATGGTGATCATTACACAACACTGTAAATCGAATTAATATTCATGAATTACAAAATTTAAAATGGCTAATTGGCATGTTTTGTTTATTTCATAACAGAGAGAGAGAAAGAGAAAAATGTACCATCAACTGGTATTTACCACATCATAATCCCCAACGTCAGCCTTCCAGTCAGCCAGGGTCACTCTGACAAGTGCACCCAGCATATGCAGGTTGAGCTGGGATCAGAATCTCAGGTTTTCCCCTATGGCACCAGGATCAAAAACTGGTGCCGTATCTCTTAGACAATTGCAACTGGGCCTGCTACACATTTTTACAATTTTTAAAAACACCATCTCGCTGCAAAGAAGTGAAATTATTTCTATTTGTAGATAATATATGTTGTATGTAGAAAACTCTTAGAACAGTGCTATACTCTGAGTACATCCCCCTCAAATTCATTTGTCAAGCCACTAAAACAGGCTCAATCAAGTGGGTGAAAAATTGGTCCAATTACGGTGTAAAAAGATAGGGCTCTGAGGAAGAAATTAGCAAGTGGGTTGCTAGAGAGGGTTCCAGGGTTAAGTCCTGGCTGAGATGGAGTGACAGTGAAATGTGGTCTGGAACACAGACCACATTCTCTTTCTGCATGCACCCGTACACTCTCTGCTTCTGTGAGCCATGTTATAACATAACCAACCTGATATCAGCCTTGTGTCTTTCAGCTTTTCAGTCACCAAAATTATCAGTCTCCCAGTCTCAGGTTATTTCTGTGAGCAATGCAATCACAGACTAAGACGAATAGACAAGTTCATAGGACCAGCAGGTAATGTAATGTTTTCGTTGCTGTACTCCCATATAGTCAATTACGGTTTGAGTCCTGAACCTGGCGGCTTAAACCGCAAGCCAGGTGTGTGTGTGTGTGTGTGTGTGTGTGTGTGTGTGTGTGTGTGCGCGCGTGTGTGCGTATGCCCAAAATCCCAAGAGGAGAATGGAGGACAAGGAACTGCAACATGGCCATGCCTCCGGGGGATGATTTCTCACTTTCTGTGAGTGCACATGCCCTATCGCAAAAATCTCTCTTAAAAATAAAGCAAAACGAAAAAAAACAAGTTTTAGAGAATGCTACATAAATTAAAATGATCAAGAGAAAATTTGTAAAGATTTTATAAGGAAGCCTTTGCAAATATATCTACAAATATGTAATTTAGCAGTTTCAGAAACAAGCAATTCTGACCTTTACTTTCCTCCCTTGAGTATTATAATGTCTAAAATCTAGTAACAAAAAGCCACAAGGATGCAAAATTACAAGACTGCATAACATGTATGCACTGTCATTTTATTAGGAAATGGACAGGAAAAGTAAACACATACCAAAACAGGCAAGATGAAAGAAAGACAATATAATAGGCAGTTTGTTTGGCAGGCTAAAAAATAAAAGTAGCAAGAGCAAAGTAATTAAGTTTAGAAATAAAAGAAGCCAAATACTTATAGGAGTTTAAAATCCCTAATAGATACAGTAGAGGCATCATTTTTTAAAAAAGAGAGGAGGGCCAGCCGATGGGGGTTATGTTACTGGACTCCCACATGGCTGACTTTGGTACGAGTCTCACACCCAGGGCCTGGAAATCACATCAGGCACACTTGTGTGTGTGCGTGTCCAAGATCCCAGGAGGAAACTGGAGGAGAAAGGATTGTGGTATGGCCCTCCCCTCTGGGGAGTGATTTCTCACTTTCCTTCTCACTGTCTGTGTGTGTGCGTGTGTGTGTGTGTGTCTCTCTCTCTCCAGTGAGCACATGTGCTCTATGGCAAAACCTCTAAAAAAAAGAAAAAGAAGAAAAAAAAAAGTAGGAAACTTAGAAGCAAGTGTCAAGAAAGCACTAACTTGCTAATTTTGGTAGTTAAAATATATTAGCTACGACAAAAATGTATATATATAACAATTATATATCTGTAGGCACGTATAATATAATCCTGTCTTAATACATAAGTATCCTTTCAAGCTTTGTCATAAAAATAAAGAATTTCTACAGAAATAATCTAAATAAAGTTTAACAGAAAATGATAGCAGATTGTTACACTGGAAAAGGTTATATGAAATAAAAAGAACACTAGGCTAGATATGAATCTAAGAATATCTGATGAATCTAAGAATACCTGATATTATATTAATGATATATGAAATCCAAAAATATCAAGTAAATTTATCCAAAGTCATATTTATTTAGACAAATATATATACTGTATAAATGGTTTGTTACCTTTCCTGACCCTTCAACTCAAACTGGAGAATGAAAAATGTATGGAGACATTGAATCTCCAGACAGTAGCAGAAACTAACTAAAAGAACCAAGGTGAAACAGAAGAGACTGGTTTTCTTTGTTCCCAGCTCCAGTGAAAACAATGACATTAGTTACTGCAGCTTTAATGGAGGTAAGAAAGGACTTCTAGCACAAAATCATCTTTAATTATCCTGTTTCACGCAAATTGCAATCAGAAATAGTGGCCACTTAGGATAAAATCTATACTTTCTCCCTTGCCAAAGATAGGTTACACCTGATTCACAAAGTTAACCTCTCATTCTGATTCTACCAAGTCTTCCTGCTTCCTCCTCCTCCCCCATCAACCTCCACTTAACAAAATGACAGAGCTGTCCTCCCTCAAATAGCAGATTAACTATCAGAGGACTGCATAAGCACATAAGGAACACAGAGGCTTGATAAAATATACAAATATGCTTGAGAACTGAAGACATATTTAAAACAATTTTTAAAAATTCTTTCTTCTTATTAACATTTTGCTGAAATAACCAGTAATATTCAATGACCATATATTTTTCCTAAAAATCACTGGAGCCTCTGCTTTGGAATTCTTCCACTCACTTGTTAAAACTGTCTCACAGGGGAGGGGAAGGAGGCTATTTTTAGAATTACAAGTTTATCACAATACACAGTATACACTTTCTGTCAGACGTACCTTCTCACCACTTGAGTAGAAGAAATAACGCAATCGGACTATGTTACAGTGATCTAGCTTTCTCATGATCTGCAGCTCTCGGTTCTGAAAAGGAAACAAATGAAAATATTTTTTAAAGGTTAATGGCTATTCATCATAGTGCCCAAGACACTTCTACATAACATTAAACACTACAAATAGCAGATTTTGCTATAGCAGATGTGATCCATAGATCATTAACAATTTGCAAACTATTTGTTACTAGTTCATGAACTATTTATCACTCCATGATAAGACAGATACAGAAACTGAGTGTTTAGAATCTTTTATAGATAAATTTACATTTATGAATCTAATGATAAGAACTGTGGAAGCTGCCTGTGGCATGGTGGTTAAAATGGCTGGATGTCACAAGGCCAACTGTGCAGTTGGAATCCCATACATGACAGCTTGTAAAAACATGCTGGGTGCATGTGTGTGCATGCTCATAATTTTGGGAATAATGGAGAAAGAACTACTACAGCATGGCCATCCCCTGGGAGTTGCTTTCTCATTCTCTATTTTTCTGACAAGCACACATACCCTATAGCATACTGAAAAAGTAAACACACTTTTTTTTTTTTGAGAGGGAGAGATTTTTTTTTTTTGGAGAGGTTTTTGCTATAGGGCGCGTGCACTCGCCAGACAGACAGAGACATAGAGACAGAAAGCGAGAAATCACCCCCCAGGGGGGATGGTCACGCCACAATCCCTTCTCCTCCATCTGGCGAGCGCACACGCCCTATAGCGAAAACCTCTCCAAAAAAAAAGAAACCCAGTGCTCTTCAGCTCCTGAATAACAAGGTATGTAAGGCTGTCATTTGCCGAGGGCCACCAGGCCTGGGTGTAGGCAACTAAGTGTTCTTTTTTTTTTTTGGAGAGGTTTTTGTTACAGGGTGCGTGCGCTCGCCAGACAGACAGAGAGAGACATAGAGACAGAAAACGAGAAATCACACTCCAGGGGGGATGGTCACGCCGCAATCCCTTCTCCTCCATTCTCCTCTCGGGATCTTGGGCACGCATGCACATGCGCCTGGCGTGAGTTCTAAGTCACCGGGTCTGGGACGCGAACTGCGGTCGACTACGTGGGAGTCCAGTGACATAGCCATTAAGCTAACTGCTGGTTCCCATGAGGGAAAGATTTTGCTATAGGGCTCATGTTCTTGCTAGAGACATAGAGAGAAACATAGAGAAAGGAAGTGAGAAACTCATCCCCCATCACCATCTGGGGATGGCCATGCCAATCTCTTCTCCTCCATTTTCCTCTCAGGATTTTGGGTATGCACATGCATGCACCCGGCATGAGTTTCAAGCCACTGGGTCCAGGACCTTAACACTGGTCGATCACATAGGAGACCAGCACCTTAACCATTATGCCAGCTGCTGCCCCATAAATTTCACTTTTCTAATAATTTATTTGTATTATATTTTACAGAAGTATTGGTCTTTGGGTAACCAGCGTTAGCGTAATGGCTATGTTGCTGGACTCCTATGTAGTCGACCGTGGTTCGCGTCCTGGACCTGGTGGCTTAGAACTCACGCCGGGCGGGTGTGCGTGCGTGCCCAAGATCCCGAGAGGAGAATGGAGGAGAAGGGATTGCGGTGTGACCATCCCCCCTGGGGGGTGATTTCTCGCTTTCTGTCTCTATGTCTCTCTCTGTCTGTCTGGCGAGCACACGCGCCCTATAGCGAAAACCTCTCAAAAAAAAAATTAAAGAAGTATTGGTCTTTGACAGATTAGGAACTGTAAAAACTAGAATTTAAACTTCAAACAGCTTGATAAACACTTGTCTACGGTACACAGAGATATCTAAAATGAACTGAGTACTATAATTTTTTTGCATTTATAATGAAAAAAAAACCTCTAAACTTCAAACAGCTTGATAAACACTTGTCTACGGTACACAGAGACATCTAAAATGAACTGAATACTATAATTTTTTTGCATTTATAATGAAAAAATAAAAAACCTCTCACCAAACAAATGAATTTGAAATCTTGCAAGAAAACTCCTACAATCCTATTGTTTCCCAGAATACAGTAGAAAAAAATAAGAGTTAACTCCATGACAAGGGCTCAGTTGCTAAGTTTCAGGAAGTTAAAATATGGCATACTAGAAATTGCACAATCCTGATCAATTTGCAGGCCATACAAATGAAACTTTCACTTTAGTAAAGTTTCAAAGCTAATGCTCATTCTTCATGAAATGAAAACAGTGAATAATACAATGATGTCTTAACATCATAAATTTTTGTGGTAGTGAAGTTCAATATATTACATATTGACAAAGAGGACATAATCTAACAATATACTTGGCTATCAGAAATCCAGTTAATAAAGGCCAAATTACAAACACATAGAAAGACTACTAAAATACCAGCTACATGGCCAGAAAATCCCAGTCTCTCACATACTACATAAAATGTGTATGAATAAATAAACATATAATCAAAAGGCAGACAATATTGGACTGGATGAAGAAGAAAGCTGCAATAATATTCTACCTGCAGGAGATACGCTTGATATTCAAAGACGTAAATAGCTTGAAAGTAGAAAGATATACCATGCAAACGGTAACCAAAAGAACATTGCAATGGCATATTATTAATGGAAAATAGATTTAAAGAGAGAGAAAGAGAGAGAACCATTTCTTTCAAAATAAAGCCTGAATCACTTCATAATCTGGCTCTTCCATAACAGTTTAATCTTATCTTCTACTCATGACCAACATGAATTCTACATCATAGCTAGATCTGACTTCTCACTCTTCCTGAATATACTGTTTCATCCCCAATTCTAAACCACTGATCACAGTATAGTTGCACTGTCTTTGAGCTCCCTCTCACCTACACATTCTACCCATTCTTTTCAAGTTCCTACTTAATTTCTACTTCTTTCATGAGGCCATCCTCAGCTGCTCCAATTCACATTAATCTTTTCCTGCAGCACTAACAAATATTTTGAAATTTAGCATACTCTCTTGGTTTTACTTTGACAACTACAGTTCAAGAGTGTATATGTGAGAGTTCTTCAAAAAGTTCATGAACAATGGCTATTCTGAAAGTATTACACATAGATTTCAAAAATTTTTGTACCCAAATAACTCATACTCTAATTCAATTTTTCCAAGAAATTTCCGAATCCCCTTGTAAAAAGAAAAAAGGTGCTTTTCTAAAGTAACTTATAGAAATCAGATTCAGAGGCCAGCAGGTGGTAGTTAAGGTGGTTGGATCCTACATAGTCAACTGCATGGTTAAATACTGGACCCAGAAGCTTAAGAAACACACTGAATCTGTGTGAGCACATCCAAAATCCCGAGAGAAGAATGGAGGAGAAGGGATTGCAGCATGGCCATCACCCCTGGGGGGAGGGGTGTCCTTTCTCACTGTACCTCTATCTCTCTTGTCTCTCTCCAATGAGCACACATGCCCTATAGCAAATTGGGAAAAAAAAAATCAAACTCAGTAATTTATACTCACCACAAACACACACACCCTGCCCAACTAACTTACTTCAAATGCCTTAAAAGCAAAAATCAAATTTTATATTTTTTGGTATCACTCACAAAGCTCTCAAACCAAGGTTTGTTTTTGACAAAGTAAATTCTCTATTTCTAATTGCTTCAACCTTCCAACCTGCTGCAGACTGGTAATTTTTTTTTTTTTTTGCGAGAGAGATTTTTATTATAGGGTGCGTGTGCTTGCTGGAGATACAGAGACAGAAAGCAAGAAATCAATCCCCGGGGGTGGGGGGAAGTGGCCATGCTGTAATCCTTTCTCCTCTATTCTCCTCTCAAGATTTTGGGCACACACGCACATGTGCCTGGCATGAGTTTTAAGTCACTGGGTCCAGGTCTTGAACCGCAGTCAACTATGTGGGAGTCCAGGTAATGACTATACCATCTACTGGGCCCTAGACCAGTATATTCAAAATCAGCACTAAGAAGGGAGTGAGGAAGGAAGATAAGATAGGATAGGCTAGGATTTAACTTGACTTTATACATAATATATAGAGAAAGGACTTTTTCATGAAACTTCTTTCAGTTATTTTTCTATGCATAGGGCTGCAATGAAAACTGTATTTCTTACTATAGGATCACAGTTAAAAGTCTGAACTCCATTGTGGTAAATGAACTGTCCATGAGGTTTGCCCCTCCCCCCTTCTAATATTGAAAAGATAATGGCCAACTACTTGGCCTGGTGGTTAAGGTGACTGGATCCCACATGGCCAACAGCACGGTCCAAGTCCTAGATCTATTATGCCATCTGTTGGTCCCAGCAGATTGGAAAACATATCAGGCATGTGAGCATGTATGCCCAAATTCCCAAAAGAAAGGAGAAATGGAGATAGGAAGGATGGTGGCATGACCATGCCCCATGGGCGAAGGGTGCTTTCTCACTTTCTCCCTCCTCTTTAGTGAGAATCCACACCCTCTAGCAAATTAAAAACAAACAAAACAAAACAAAGATAGACGAAAGGATACATGTTCTAACTAATCACTCATATCTTTTTTTTTTTGAGAGGTTTTTGCAATAGGGTGCGTGCGCTCGCCAGACAGACAGAGAGAGACATAGAGACAGAAAGCGAGAAATCACACCCCAGGGGGGATGGTCACGCCGTAATCCCTTCTCCTCCATTCTCTTCTCGGGATCTTGGGCATGCACGCACACGTGCCCGCCGTGAGTTTTAAGCCACCAGGTCTGGGACGCGAACCACGGTCGACTTCGTGGGAGTCTACCGACATAGCCATTACGCTAACTGCTGGTTCCCTAATCACTCATATCTTTTTTTTTTTTTTTTTTTGGGGGGTTTTTCTTTTTGCGCGTGCGCTTGCCAGACAGACAGAGACATAGAGACAGAAAGTGAGAAATCACCCCCCAGGGGGGATGGTCACGCCGCAATCCCTTCTCCTCAATTCTCCTCTCGGGATCTTGGGCACGCACGCACAGGCGCCCGGCGTGAGATTTAAACACCAAGTCCGAGACTCGAACTGCAGTCGACTACATGGGAGTCCAGCAACATAGCCATTACGCCAACTGCTGGTCCCCAATTAAGCTGAATTTAAC